ACCCTTCTAGTATATATATATAGGTGGAGGTTCAAACGAGAACCCTTGTGATTTACGAGAATGCGAGAACAACCCAATAACCTCAAACTTTTTTAATTAATAAATTAACTTTTATTATATATAAATAATTTAATAAGGACAATAATGTAATTAAGTAATTTTTATAATTTTTATTTTATTTTAATTAACCATAATTATCTTTTCACGTTCCACGTTTTACTCTTGGTAGTTATCTTCTTCTTCTTCTTCTCGTTAACATCTTTTCTTCATATCACACCTCTATCACATAAGTATCACACTCATATCATATGATTATCACACCCATATTATATGATTACACCAAAATTTTAACTTGTCAACCAAAACGATAACCCAAGTGATGTATAACAGTGATTATCACACCCAAATCACATGATGACACCAAAATTTTAACTTATCAACCAAAACGTTAACCCAAGTGATGTATAATGGTGATTATCACAACCCTATCACACTCATATCACATGATTATCACACCCCTATCACATGATTACACCAAAATTTTAACTTATTAACCAAAACGATAACCCAAGTGATGTATAATGGTGATTATCACACCCCTATCACATGATTATCACACCTATATCACATGATTATCACACCTAGTATAATCCTAACCTATTTCGTAACCGTTTTACTAGATAATGATAATAATGAGTGTTTAAAAGATAATGATCGTGTTTAAAAGATTTGATGATATCATTTCCATTATTACCCTTTTAATTTTAAATTTTTTTGAATCTTTTTAAATTTTAATTTTAATTTTAAAAATCTTTTAATTTTATTTTTTATCACAATATGAGGTTATTGGGTTGTTCTTGCGTTCTCGTAAATCACAGGGGTTCTCGTTTGAACCCTTCCCTATATATATATATATATATATATATATATATATGTGTGTGTGTGTGTGTGTGTGTGTGTGTGTGTGTGTGAAATAGAGAAGTGATCTTAACTCTTCCATTAAAAAAATCAACAGTCAAGATTTGAGGGGCTGATTGTGCAGCATCGCATGATAACAACTATGCGAAAGATAAAGGGGTAATTTCATAACTTTTACAAATAGACGACAAACAAATATATGTGAACCCATATGATTCACATATGAACTATATGTGCATATATGAACTCGTATAATTCACATACGAATTATATATGCATATGTGAACATGGTGATTCACATATAAACTATTTAACTCATTCACGTATTAATTCTATGTGCATATGTAAACCCGTATGATTCATATATGAAGTATTTTAAGTCATTTGCATATGAACTATTTAATCGATTCACAAATTAATCTTAGATTCACATATGGTTTTAGGATCAAAATCAACATCTTGCTCAAGATTGTTTTCTGGATTCAGATTCATTTCGAAAGAATACGAGATTTGATCACGAAATATAATAATTTTGATAACCTAGATTTCCGATATATGATCGAGAAAGAATCGATAATAGAATTGTCATAAAACCATATTTGATTTGCGATGTATAATCGAGAAATTTTTGAGAAAAGATCGAAGATAGAATTGAGATCTTTACACTGCTATAATTCTATCGATGATAGAACTGCTAATTACCGTATTATCGTTCATTTAATAAATTTTGATCATTTAATCTAATGGCTAAGATTGCTTCTCTATTTCTCATATATTGAGTGTTTATCATTTGAATTTCTCCCTATATATAAGAGCAAGTTCAAACGAGAAGGCAGTCAAGTTACGAGAATGCAAGAAGCAATATGAACCACATAATTCATTAATTAAAAATACCATAAAAAATATAAAAAAGAAATTATCGTAATTACCATTTTGAATTGGATCAAATATTCTGTTAAAAATATTATTGTAACAAAAACAGCAGTTAAATCTCTTAAAAATCTCATTATATCTTTTGTATTATTGTTTAATTTTAATTAATTCATATTTTTTTTATTTTAATTAATTCATATTTTTTAAATCAAGTTTAATATAATTTTTTAGATACATTTTTGATTTAAAAAATCACATTTTTCATCAAATATCACATGTGCTATCCACAATCAATTCATTATTATTATTTTCTCTATTTTTTGGATCCACGTTTTGAATTACATGTGGTTAATTTCGTTTAACATATGATCTATTACGTTATTACGTATCACATATGATCCACTCTGTGAATTTTCATATATATATATATATATATATATCACATACGGTAATATACTTGTGAGTATAAGTTACGTATTATCACATGTGATAATATGTGTCTAGATATAAGTAACAAATTATCACATATGATAATATTTGCATCACAAAGGATCTATGAATTTAAATATACACGATGACATATAAAATATCCATAATTATCACATATGATTGATACGATCTCAAACAAGTTATCATATGTGATAAAAATGTACAATCAATCTGTTACAAATTTATCTTTGTGACGAAATCGGTATTTAAAGATTATTAGAAATCGGTTTGAAAAATAAACTCAATCCCGATTTATTAGAAATTATTATCACCGTTACTGATAATGATAGCCCTTTTAATTTAATTTAATAATATTTTATTTAATCAATTTATTAAATAAGATATATGGTATATATCACTATATTCCTTATCACATTCTCGCAAATTAGTTTGTTTCTCGTATGATCCTCCCTCTATCTCTCTCTCTCTATATGTATACATAGAATCATGTGAGACTAACCACTTTTTCACGAGACGCATCGTGAAGGTTCAGTTTATAAAAACAAAAAACTCATCCAAACTCCCAGGTAGTCTCAAGAAAACTAGGCTCACATGACCCGAAGTCTATATATAATATATAGAGGCCTAATCAAATGAGAACTAATTAGTTTGTGGTAACCATGAGATCCAATCTCAACCACAAATTAATAGATGAATTAAGAAATTTATAATTTTGGTAATTTTAAATTAAAATCTTATTGCAATGACATTTTAGGTATTTTCTCTCCTCTCTCCGTCCTCCGGTGATACCATAATGGTATCACAATGCATCTTATAYRTKWKTKYRT